ATAAGTCCTGTTTGATTATTTTTAGTTATTTTTATTTATATTTTATAATTAACACTCTCAATAAGTCCAATTATTATTTTATTTTATTAGATATTATCAATAAGTCTTGTTATTTACTTTAAAACTATTTGTTAATTTCTTTAATTCTTTTTATCTTTTTACTTTATTTTTCTATCTATTTTTATTTTTTATTGATAATATTTAGTTAGTTTATATACAAGCTATCACAAGAAATTTTTAGAATCTTTAATAAATTCTATTAATAATAATTTATTCAGTCTTTGTTTTTTCACTATTATATTACTTTGTTAATTTATTAATTTTAACAATTTTTAAATTAATGAGAATAATACTCTAGCAGTATTACAATAACTTTTTATATAGATAATTAATAATTTAATTACTTTAATTAATTTATATTAATTATTAATTATCATAATTAATTTATTATCAATCAAATTTAGTTAAAAATTTTAAAAATCATAAAATTCAAAAAAAAATATATATAGTCACTTTTAATTCTATCATTTGTATTAAAATTTATTTTATTCACTTTTTATTATGTTATTTATTAATTTTGAAAATATTTCACTGGAAATTCAACAATTAACAATGGAATTACAAATAAAAATTTAACAATATTACTCTAAATATCAATTTATTATTGATCATAATGAATCACATTTTATTACTGTTCCATCACTTTATGAAGAAACAAATAATAATAATAATAGTGAAAATAGTTACTCAACACCATTAACTAAATTTGAAAGTTATACTATTAATGAACTTATCAATGCAATAGTTAACTCTGAACAAACTGAGATATCACCAACATATTTCTCTGATAAAGTTTTACTATTGGTTTATGCTAACTTATTCTTAATCAAATAATATACTGAAACTGCTTTTTACTTTGAAATTGAATGAATTCTCAATAATCTAACAATTGGATTAACCACTGCACAAACAATGACTAAAGTCAAATGCTTATTTAAGTAGAATATCTCTTCATATAATACCATTGCAAAAATATTAGCTGCTCTAAGAATTTACAACTACTTCAAAAATTTTTCTGGAGTATTAAATTATAAAAAGATTAATAAATATTTCAAACTAAGTTCAATTGAAAGATGAATAAATAAAATAGTAATAGACTCAAAGAACAAATTGTTGAAATATTTAAATAAATAGCAATGAACTTAGAAGAAATAGATTTAGGTAACAATTTAGTTTAATTATTTTTACTTTTACTTTTTATTTTTATTTTTTTTTTGTTTTATAAAGTAAAATATTTAACAATGAGAGTTCTATTATGATTAGATATTTTTCATAATCACAAATGATTATTTCATATGATCACTTCACATGATCATTTCAAATGATCACTTTGAATGATCATTTCAAATAATCATTTTAACTGATATTACGAGTTCTAAACTCAGATAGGTAATCTCATAACATATGTGTTCAATCAACATCTATCTCAATAAGTTAATATTTCAATCCAGTTGATTTAGAATCACGACACTATATGACTTCTTCTATTCTATTAATTTAGAATAGAAAATACTACTACTAATAAATATTTTTTTGTATTTACTTAATGGGATGATGATTCTATAACAATATAGTATTGATATTCTATAACAATCTGATTAAGTATTCAATAGTATATAAAGTAAGTATTATAACAAAATTAATAATTATAAAATCAATTAATATATAATTTCATTAAACAATAAACAAGAAATAATTTATTGACTAGCTAGATTTTGTATTGATTAATTAATACCTTTTTGTTTATCCAAAAGAATCTTTATTTATATAAAATAATTTATGGTTAAGTTATTACAATGTGAAATATATTATATATGTTAAATAAATATGATATAGCAGATAATGTTAATATGTCTGAGAATTCTGCTATCTCTGCTATTTATGTTTAATCACATGATCAAAATTAAGAAATTAAGGAATTAGAGATAATTCTGGCTATAATATCAATTATCTCAAGCACTCTGAATGATCATTGCAAATGATCATTCCAAACAATCATTTCAAATGCTCTGAATGATTATTTCAAATAATCATTTTATAATTATCAAATACTTATAAATATAGCTTGTATCTTAACTTAAAAAAAATTAATCAATAATCAATTAATAATCAATAATAAATCAATTAAGTTTTATATTTTTTTTAATAATTCTTTAGATAGTATTTTTATAATCTCTCATTTTAATTGCAAAGTTATTCTTGTATTTGTTTATAATCTCTCATCATTATTGCAAAGTTATATTATCTTATACATTCTTGTATTTGACCTCTCATTTATATTGCGAAGAAAATTATATCTTACTTGTTTATAAATCAACTTTAAAAAAATACTCAACTTATTATAAATTGAATTATAAAAGACACAATTATCTTTAAATTTTTTTGGTCTCATTCTAGTTGATCAGCAAAATAAATATACATTATCTATTTTTAGATAACTTAGTAAACTCTCCCAACTTAAAGTTATTTAATATGTTAACTCTCCCACTTGATTTTATTACATGTACTCTCGTGACAAAATATAAAGTCATATTAAAATGATAACAATATAACAAAAAAATTCAAAAATTAGTTGAAATTTTTTCTGAATATTTTAGAAAAAAACAATATATTTATTTTCTGAAAATATTTAAAAAAATCAAAAAACAGATTTTTTATTTTTTTCTAAAAAATATAAATAATTTTCTGTTCTTTTTCTAAATCATTATTTTGAAGAATTTTTTTATAAAATATACAATATTTCACATTTAAAAATGTTAAATATCACAATGATATTCAAGTTATTAAAAAACAAGAAAGTAATGCTTATTAAATTATTATTTTAACTGAAAAATTAATTTCAAAGCAATTTGCAAGAGTCTATAACCAATTTTGTAAATGTTTTATTTTTAAATTAATAAATTAAATAAAAAAATAATTATCAATACAACTTAGATAAAAACAAAGTATTAGGAACTTTGATATTTATTATATAATATTCATTTAATATATCTCTATTTCTATTTTCATGTAAGAATAATAAGGTACTTCAAAATTAACCAATTACGTATTCAAAAGCGCAATTCTAACTCTAACTCAGATTCTAATTAGCCAATTAAAATGCAATTATTACAAATAACAGTTTTCACGTTCTAAAATATTACATAATAAATATAGTGCTCTGATGACATTTAAGAAGGTTTGCTTGATAGAACTTTTGTATAGGTTATATTTGACTATTAACGATCGATTCATCAAAGAAAAATCTTGGCCAATCAGCAAATGAATTTGATCATGTGATATAAATTAAATCCGGACATAGTGTCTTTGTGACTTTGTTGCTCTCCGGCGCAGCCAATTTGCATATCATTTTTTGCGGACTACGGAGCCTTTTTATATACTAAAGCAATTCACCGAGGCTACTTAGTAATAATATAATATTATTGCTTAGTTGTTCTGCAAATTATTTTTCTGTCACTCTTTATAGTCTCATTAATCTCTCGTAAATCGAGACTACTGTGTAGGAACGGTATAAAAAATTGATCGCTTTTTCTCCAGAATTCAATAGTCAAGACGACTTCTCCGCGTAAGAAAAGAAAAATCGAAACAATGTCTGAGAACTCTGAGGAAGAGTATAATACTATAGACGATGATTTTATTTATGACGAAGACGATGACAATTCTATCTTCGAGACTGGTGAGTACCATATTCATGGCACACCTCTTTGCTCAAAAAAGAGCTTTGTTGGGTTATTCTTTAAACTATAATTAAACCTGGATAAAATTTTCTTTTATTAATAAGATGAACCTGACCCTCTGGACGATGAGGGTGATCTTACTTTCTCCTATATCGTGGCTGATAAAGATCGACCAAAGAATTATGAGGTTGATTTCAAAGTTCACTCAGTCGCAGGTATTGTCAAGAACCAAGATGAAGAGGTCACTCACGTCTCAAACATTCTTGGTATCGAAAAGCAACATGCCGCCACGCTACTTCGTCATTTCCGATGGAACAAAGAACGGCTTATTGAACGCTACATGGATGATTCTGTCAATGTGCTGAGACAGGCAGGTGTAATCACCGAGAATTCTAAAGCACCAAAGTTTACTAAAGTTCGTAACTTCACTTGTGAGATTTGTTGCGATGATGATAGAAATATGGAAACTCTTGCCTTGTCTTGCACTCATCGTTTTTGTCGGGATTGTTATGAACATTATTTGACACAAAAAATCAAAGAAGAAGGAGAAAGTAGAAGGATATTATGTATGGCAAATCAGTGTAACGTTATTGTAGACGAAAAAACTGTCGAATTGGTGGTCAAAAAAGATGTTCATGAAAGGTTTGTTATTAACCATATCAATATCCATATAGATGAGTATGCACATTTTCTCATATTTTATTAAATTTAGATATCGAACACTATTGAATCGAACATATGTCGACGACAATGATCATCTAAGATGGTGTCCTGCTCCAAGCTGTGAATACGCAGTTGAATGTCACGTTCCTCAAACTTCTTTAATTAGTATTGTGCCAACCGTAGAATGCACTTGTCATCACAGATTTTGTTTTGGTTGCGGTTTTCCCGATCATCAACCGTCAATCTGTGCTCTTGTAAGGAAATGGATAAAGAAATGTGAAGATGACTCTGAGACTGCTAATTGGATCTCGGCACACACAAAAGAATGCAGCAAATGTCATTCCACAATTGAAAAAAATGGTGGTTGTAATCATATGACTTGTCGCAAATGCAAATATGAATTCTGCTGGGTCTGTATGGGACCTTGGTCAGAACATGGTACCAGCTGGTATAATTGTAATCGCTTCGATGAAAAGAGCAGTCAAGATGCCAGAGATCAACAAGCGAAATCTCGAGCTTCTTTGGAGAGATATCTTCATGCAAGTATATTCGTAATTTCATCATTATATGGGGGTGGAGTCAGTAGAAAAGGTACAAATTACCCTAATAGATTTGTCTCTTTTCTACTGACTCCACCCCCATATATATTTATATGTTAAATATTGACATCAAGTTAATTAATGTAATTGATTATTAGTACTATAATCGATATGCCAATCACGAACAATCTGCAAAACTTGATCGTGAACTTTATCTCAAGACGGAGAAAAAAATGGAAGAAATGCAACAAACTTCTGATTTATCATGGATTGAAGTTCAATTTCTCAAGAAAGCAGTTGATATTCTCGTGCAATGCCGTATGACTCTCAAGTGGACGTACGCGTTTGCATTTTACCTTGCTCGTAACAATCAAACAGAAATTTTTGAAGATAATCAACGTGATTTAGAAATGGCAGTTGAACAACTTTCTGAATTATTGGAGAAGCCTATCGAGGCCGAGAAAATTGCAGAATTGAAGCAAGAAGTTCTCAATAAAACTGTCTATGTTGGAAGCAGAAGGGAAGTGTTGCTAGAGGATACAGCTAAAGGTCTATTGGAAACTCGCTGGGAATTCCAGGTCGACATTAAAGAATAGAAAGCCTCATTACCAGACAGAGCATCATTAAGAAGTCGTCGTCGTCGTCTCGTATTCTAATTTTGTTAAGGTGGAATAATATAAAGTCAATCAATCAATCGGGCAAACATTATGGCATCTTAAAATTCAACTAAAGAATTAATTAATTGAATTATGGTATGAGTTGCTGAATTTTTTTTTATTTATTTACTAGACAGTAATAAAAAGTAAACGGTTGAGCCTCATACCATACTGAACATTTTAATGCAACAATGCTGCAAAATTTATTTGATCTGTTGTATGTACTCTTTATTATTCCTTTTTTTTTGATCGCCATGCTTTAATAATTTCAATCAATCCTTTTAGGATATGTATATACATAGTCCTTTGCTTCTCTGTGATATCTTTTCAAAATGTAAACATAAATAACAAATAAACTACACACACATTTTTTCTCATGTAAACATCGCTATTTCTTTGTTAAATGATTTTTTTGGAAATATAAACTCTACAAACTCTACATATTTGATATGGGTGATTTACTTAATTTGGTCAACTTGTGTGATTTTTGGTCAATGTTCAGCTGATCAATGTAAACGGAATTTTCGGAATTGACAAATCTATAAATAGACTAGACAATTTCGATCAATTGTCGTTTTTTTAGTATATACAACAACGATTTGTTTGAAATCCAAGTTTTTCAAGATTTATTTACCTTTGAATCAGGTTTTCTTTTCATCGCGTCTAACAAGCTTGTTATTAATTCAAGGTGATTCTTATTTAACGAATATCTTTCAAATATAAAGTGGTTTTACTTTAGTAGCTTGACTAGCACCTCAATAAATACGCGTAAAATATTGCGCGAGCGCTATTTTACGCGAAACGTTACTGCGCGATTTGACTTTGCTAACCGTTTCAATCAATTTAGTAAAGCCAGGATCTTTAAAGAAGAAATAAGTTGTAAGTTATTATTATTATTAAAACATGTTCTCGCTTTAAAAAACGCGCGTTAAACGTTACAGTTTATCAATTTTAACTTGTAGTAAACATGGTCGATTACAGTACAATCGTTCAATATGACGATCTATGTACAGATCTTTTGCTAGACAAAGTGGAATTATGGTATATATATTCGTTTTTATGGGTTATTTCGCAAATTTATTTTCTACACATCTGAAATTCCACTTTCGTTATTCGATCGAGTACAGGTTTAAAACTCACAAGATGGACTCTCAGTATAAACCGCTTGACCCCAAAGATGAGACGACGAAAAATGCATATACTACGGTTTTTCAGACGCTTAGATTCATCATTTCTAATCCTGATAAGGGAGATGTTGCTGTTCAAATGTTATCAAAGTAAGCTTCAGTTATTTGATTGTTATGCCGAATCCTTTTGTTACCTGTTATTAATGATGTCAATTGTAGGTCTAAAATATTTCAAGAGAGACTTCCAAGTCTGGATTTGAATACAAAAAGGCCCTCGAAGCAAGCCAAAGCTTTTTTCGAGTACGTATTAGTTAATCATTTAATATAGTAATTCTTACGTTGGTTTTAACTTTTTCACTAATGACTATGACGAATTAGGCATCTTAAAAGATACCTAAATATGTATCGGCCAGATGCTGGGATTGAACTGGGGGAAACTCTCCGCTATTCTAATTCGAAGAAAGCAGAAGCGTGTATACTCGCCACAAAACGTTGGACGAAGGGTGAAATAATACGATATTGCAATGGAATCCTAGTCGAATTGACTAAAGAAGAGGAGTCAAAGTTGGACGATGAGAAAGATTTCTCAATAATCGCTTCAGAGCGTAAAAAACGAAATTGTGTGTATGTTGGACCTGGTCGTTTCGTGAATGTAAGTTAAATTTATCGTAATTTTATGAAATAATGTCATAATTTTGCATCTAATAATATTATTCTCTTTAAAAATTTTTAGCATGACTGCGATCCAAATACAGCTGTAAGAGTTGCGATCTGATTTTTTCCTGCTCTCTATTTCAATGTTTAAAGATCTTTAATAAGTAATTTTTTCACCTTCGTTATAGTTTTATATACAAGGATCTCAATATATTGTCTCATTTCAAGTATTAAGAGATATTGAATTAGGTGAAGAAATAACATGTTCATACGGAACAGACTATTTTGGAGATAATAACTGTGAATGTCTATGTCTGACTTGCGATAGGTATTTAATTATATACATCAATAATAAACTATTCTGAAATAATCAACCAATGTAACACCAATATTACAGGCGAAAGATGGGTGCTTTTGCGGATAAAAAAGGAAAAGGCAAAGAACCTGTATATGTAACTATCTCTGAAGAAGACGAGAGTAATAACAATCATAAGGAACAACAACCACAATCACCAGAAATTGGCGTGCGTACAAGAGGATACCATCGAGGTAAATTTAACATAAAATGCTAATTTATTACCAATTTTCCTAATAATATCATCATTTATTGGTTATTCTAGTACGCTCTTCTCAGGTTGCCAAGCAGTCACAGAATATACCATCTTCTTCAACTAGTTCTTCAAAGACACCAAATAATCAATCTCAGACAGCATCTACTTCAACAAGTCAAGCTCCGCAATCTCAATCTCCAAATTCGCCTTCTTTGAGACATCGACAATCACAATCACCGCAACCTATGTTAAAGCGACCGCTTTCTGCACAATCTCAGTCTCGAGAGTTGAATTCAATGCAATCTACAATACAGCGACCTCAATCGGAACAGAAACCATATTTGAATGTTAATACACGACAAGAGAATCTGTCTCAAAGTCAACCACCACCTAACACGCATTCTACTCCACAATCACAGATTCATCAAGCTGGGGCTCGACATTATTCTAACCAATCGCGATTCCGCCATGATAATATGCGTCAGGGTCAATTCCAGCAATCAAATTCTTTATATTTACCGACTTCAAATAATTTTCATTCCAATTTCGGCGCGAATCAAGTTCAAAGAATCAGTTTTCCGTGGACTATATCGCAGACAGTTCTTCCAGGGCAAATCATGACAACTGGATTCTCTATTACTGCAGGATTTTGTGTGTCTACTACGCCTGGAAACGCTCAGCCAATAATGATTCCTCCACACTTGTTACAATTTACGTCGAGACAGATTCCTAATAATATATCGGCAAGTGCAACAAGTCCTCGAAGTCCTCGGATGTCAATCAATTTTCTCGTGAATGAGGATATGGATATAGAAGGCGGCGGCGGTAGATTACAGACTCAATCTCAGCCTATCCAACCGTGCCGTATTCAAGATTGTAGTAACACGAGTGCCCCAGATGACCGATTCTGCTTGAGATGCCGCAGACATATCAAGATATATAGAATGAAATGGCCCGCGCGTGTTTCTTCTAATGAATCGTCAGTAGTGAATGAGCAACAAGTAATTAAGAAGGTAAATTAATAAATTATAGCAGTATTTGTCTTTCGAATGAAATCCAGTATAAATTTCCTATTAATTTTTCATTATATAGCAATCTGCAACACGTGTGCAAATGATCTCTGCACGTGCAACGTCCTCGAAGCCAGTTACTTCGAATAAAACAGCTCGTAAAGAATCAGTAAAGGGAAAAAACGTGGAAATTGTGTCATTCGGTGATGTCTCACGATGGCAACCCTATCAGGTCTCGGGATATACTACAACAAAAAATTCTTATTCCACCTCGCAAGATTGGGCGGGCCGAAGCTCAATACATGGTTAGTCTTTTAATAATACTGAATGTTTTCATTCGAATATTAATTTGTGATATCTAAGTCAAGAAATCTTTGTGTGTCTGTTTAGTACATGAATATTATGTTCAAAAAAATACCATCAAGTTACGCTGGGACCACCAAACGGGTTATGTTCACATCACCCCAATGTGGAAGTCCACGGGGCTTCGACCTCGGGCATTGGGTGATGTGATAGCCCGAGATCCAAGGTGGTCCCAGGCAAAGAAGATAATTGGTGGGTGCACGGAGCTTCAAGGCATTTGGTAAGTTAAATTATTCAATTAAAATTTAATGAAAATCAATTTTATATCTTTATTCTTCTACTTTAATTCTACACTAGGCTACCTTATGCTACAGCCCGTGAATTTTGCGTGGAATATAAAGTCGACCCAAAGATTATTCAACCAATCTTTGGGTGCGACTGGTGGGTGAGCGAGGAGGAGGAGGAGTTGCCAGATGTGGTGATGGAAGATATTTTGGAGGTGGAGCCAATGGTGAGGGGTGTAGAGAGCGGGGATGAAGAAGCCGATAAGGAGAGACCGTCGAAAAGACGAAGGTTGGAGAACGGCTTCGACAGGGAACTCCAATTTGCTAGGAACGCGACTGTGCTGGTGGCAGGTCGTTTCCTCGGCGAAGAGGAGTTCAGGTTCATTGGCGACCGAATTTTTAGATTAGGTCGCTAATGGACCAACTTGTTGGGGTTGCGGAGGAGAAGGAAGGCGAGAGATTAGTGAGGGTGTGGTAAGGTTGAGAGTGAAGAGTAGAGGAAGGCAGGATTAAAAGTGTGGTCGTCTTTCACTTCATTCATGTGTTTGAACACTAAGAGCATTGTTTGAATGAGTAGGTCATTCATAAAAGCAGAGCCACCGCCAATCAAGATTATGCTCTCCGACTGGATGGCGCAGTCCAAGACGCTGTTAAAGTTCTGTTTTAATTGTATCTATTGGATTGTTTTGGCAAATTATATTTTAATGCCGCTCGGCATTAAGAAAAGTCAGTCTGAAAATAATTATAATATTGTTCTTTTACATAAATCAGAAAATGTTGAAATAGAACAACAAAATATAATATACTGTAAAGCACTACCCCGGGTATTTTACACCGAAAATTGAGTAGTACCTTGGGGTCATAGGGTAGTTAGGGTTAGGGTATTGTACTATAAGTAAATAATATATGTACATAGAATAGAAAATATAATGACGAAAATAGAAATCTAGAACGCCAAAAAGTATAAATTAATAATATTCATTAAAAATTATCTTAATTATAAAATATTAAAAGTATTTATAAAATAAAATATAATGAAATGAGGGTTGTTCTTTTTATATAAAATTGATCAATATTTTTTATTTTTATATGGTCTGGTGCAAAAAGATTGCATTTCAAAATAAAAATTAATAATTACTTCTAATAAAAATCATTCAAAATTTAACTAAACTCTATAATTTTTTTATACTAAGTAAAGAATACTTTAAATTAACTATTTATATTATTCTCTTGTACTTTTATTTAATAATACATGAATCAATACTTTTCTAAAAATAAAATAAAAAATTATAAATATATTTAAGCATTATTTTTATTAATTTGCAATATTAGAACTTCAAATTATATAAGTAAATTACTATATGAAGAGAAATCAGTAAAAAAGAAAATCAATTTTTTTTAAAATAAGTTTTTGCATTCAATATATTAATATAAATATATAGATTATATTTTATATAATTGTGAACACTTATTTTCATAATAAAAAAATTTAGATCTAATTTTTCAAAGTTTTTATTTTATATAAATCAATTAATAATGACTGGAATTAAAAATTCAATTATCAGAAAATTATAAATTTATTAATTTGTCCCTTTTTTATTGACTTCATCCCATATATTTGATAAAAGTATATTTTAAATTTCATAAAGATTGAATTAGTAGTTATTGCAAAATTAAGTTTCAAAGTATAACAGTTAAATTATTTATTATATATGTTTTATATTAATTTTAATCAAATTTTATATAATAAAATTTATGAAATAAGAATTCAAAAAATTTATTACTAGTAAAAATTTTTTTTATAAAATATAAAAATTAAAATATATCTATTTTAATTCATTCTAATATCTAATAACTTAATTGAATAAGACATAATTAAATTTTATTTTATTTTAAAAAAATAATTTATTAATAATTATTTGAGGTACAAATCTTTTTGCACCAGACTATAACATATATTTTTTTCAGATTTTTTAGATTTAATCTGAGAAAGCTTTTCTAAATACAAAAAAAGTTAATCAACTTACTTTGTATTTAGAAAAGCTTTTGATATTATTTTTTAAATAAAATATCTCAATAAAAGCTATTGTTTTTTTTTGAAAAAATGTAATTTCAATATTTTTTATATAAAATAATTACATTAATAATATACTTATCTGATTAAACATTAAATAAAAATGAAATATTTAATATGATTTTAATATTTATTTATTAGTTTTGAATTCTCTTTAATTTTATTAAATATTATTTATTTAAAAAAAAGAACATTAATATATTTATTATTCAAGCGTTAATTTAAAAGTTTAACTATTGTATTTATTAGTTTTTCAATCAAAAACAATATATACATGTATAATTTTAATTTTTAATTATTGTAATGATTTAATGAAATTCCATGAACTGGCTTGTAAGTCTTTTTTTTTATAAAAAATTGTTAATAATTACTAGTAATAAGATCAGTGTTGTAAATCACAATTAGTAAGTTTTAACAATAATTATGCTAAATAATAAAAAATTAAAACATTCAGTTTAAAAAATATCCCGTATTACACGAAAAATAATAATGACCTGTTTATAATACGAATTAAGATAGTTGAGATAACATTGATTCAAACCAATTTAAATGCTATAAAATTTAAATACCGTATACCCCTTTGGAGAAAGTTTAAACCTTAATTTAGTTCGATTTCTTTAATAAAACCAAGTATGCTCCTGCAGAATGAATAAATCAAGATTCGCCGTACAATTTCTTCTATTAAATCAGCGCTGTTCGGTAATTTAGACAGAAAAACAAAAGCTTTATTTGTGATAAAAAAAATTAATTTGAAACGGGAGTTTTGAGTGAAAAATTACGTAATTACTTACATATGCACTTTGTTAATAATACTCGGGTATCTCGATATTTGTATATTTTTTAATCTGTGATTTTCAAAATGAACTATATCGATATATTAAAATCGAAAATTATTTCTTTGACACAAAAAGCATATAACAAACTCATGCTATCCAGACAATCAATTTGCTGATTTCCAACACACACACAATTTTTATTCTGACAGAATATATTTACATCGATTTAAGAAGAAACAAATTAACTATAACTTTGAAGTCATTAAATAAATTACATACAATCTTTGGAATAAAATTACAGTAGAGATTAAAAGAAAATTTGAATATATACCATGATTAAGAGTTCTTGTTCAATGTCTTTGATTCGGTAATTAAGAGAGTTAAAAATTTTCGGGCTAAATTAATTATTATTATTATTATATTATTATAAGAAAAAAGTAAAAAAAAGTTCATTATTTTCTGTTTTTGCGCTTTCTCCCTCGATCAAAATTGTATCATAATAACGGAATTCCGGCACTTGATTTCCTTCCATGGGAATCAGCTATTCCAATTGCGCTCTGTTGCGATTGTGATGCTAAAGGTTGCGTACCAAACGAAGAAAGTATTGACATGGTAATCGAACGATAAAACCCCCCATCTCGATACCAAGCTGAATTTTTTCGACGTGGATAATTATTATGATGATTGTTATTAGTAAAGTTATTTGTGTTGGATGAAGTTATCGATTGATTCGATGAACTTTCGAATTCATAATTCGATATTTGTGACTGTGTTTGTGATGGTGGCTGTGGCTGTGATTGTAGTTGCAATGGTGATTGGGAAAAAGATGACGGCGATGCTTCTAAATTATTCGTTATTTGCGGTTGTGGCGATGGCCAGTCAAAACCGTGCATCATTGGTGGCGATGCCCAAGACGGATTGTAATTCGGATTGGGATTGACGTTGCTGCTTTCTGATATTATTGGTAGTGGAGAAGATGGAGGCCATGATGGCACATACAAGGAAAAATAATTGATTGTCGATGATGTTGTTTCGTCTTTTATCGTACTTTTTATTTTTTTAAAGAAATAAATTTTAGTTAAGGAAAGAAAATATTTTTGGTTTTAAACAGAAAGTAGTTAGGACTTTTTACTCACTTGATCGCTATTGCTATAACAGTTATCAAAATCATAAACGGAGAGAGTAGAATCCAAGTGAATGACAGAAATTTGCTCGCATGAATTAACGTGTATTCACGAAAAAATGCAAAAATAAATAGTGATATAGTGAAGAATAACATCGTAGCAATCATACAAGAAAGTATTACTTTTAACTGTTATTAAAATAATAAATAAATCTGTCATTAATAATTTAATAGAGAAAAGTAAAAATAAACCAATCTCACTCACTTTTAACAATCTTCGCCTGATTTCTTCCAATTGCATTTTCGACAATGCACCTGCAACACATCCAGGCCCAGTAAACTCTTTTAATTGACCACGTAATATAGTCAATAATCGATTACCGAAATAAAATAAGCCGGCTGCCATCAAGAAACATAATAATGCCCACCACGCATAATGAATCTTTACTAAAATGTCAGCCAATGTTCTATGACCATAATCTCGAAATACACCGGAAAGTATAGCCAGTATATTCAAAGTGGTGAATGGAACTATTACTATTAGCCATCCGAAAATATCCAGTTTTTCCGGTGTCAAGGTGTGGTAATGATGTGAAATACTTCTTTTAGGTGCTAATACTAATTGTTGTGTTTCTACATCAACATACATAATCCCAATTAAATACATTCCAATTCCCATATATCCAAATGTCCAAGGAAATTCGTTTAAAACTAAACGTAATTTTTTTTTGTAAATACACTTATTAATATTTTACTTTAATGAATTGAATGAACTGTGACTATTCTCTTACATTCTTTCCATGCAAACTGTGGTAGGATATCTTTGACAATCATCGTAGATGTAACCAATCGCGCTATAGTTGAAATAAAAAATAATGAGGAAGATGAGGATAATGATCAGGGATCGATGTTTTTAAAAGCTAACCTGCTATGTGGATCAAGTAATATGTTTCCACAGGTCTCGGTTGAAAAACTGGCTTATTATTTGCAATTCCTGATAACACCAAATTCGAAAACCTAGGCGAATACTTTTTATTGTGTTGTCTTCCAATGCTGCCACCACCACGAGCATTAAAGTTCCTTTCAAACTTTCCATTTTTGCACTTCGTTCGATATATCAATAAAGGTATTAAACTGATTAGTACTAACGCACATCCAATTATACTTGCTATGTATAAGTTGTGTAAATAATTGGCTTCAGGACAATTAAATATTTCGACACGAAAGTCACAGGCACAAGGGTGTATGCTATTAGTTTTAATGTCATTATTAATGTTCGTTGAGCACTCAAAATTTGAGGTTATATTTTTCGCCATTACTCTTGGTCAGACATTAATGTCGTATATAATGAAACAAGAAATAAGAATGAAATAATTCATTGGGACGCGCAAGAGACAATACTAAAAATGATTCAAGTAACACAGTTAACCCATTGTCCCGTTTATAAATAAATACGGCATGTGTCCAAAAAGAGTTGCCCGAATTTCGTTACATCTTTGGAATGGGATATTGCCAAATTACCAAAATTGGAAAGATTATCGAATAGTTCCTTCTCTAAGAGTTTTAGCGGTGACGACGCCTTTTTTTGTAGTGAAAGGCACGTCATTATACACAGCAACACCTTCGGAATTCACACGAAATTTCTCGGCGATTTTTTCAAATATTTTGTGCTTTGGATTCAATATTTCTCCATCTTTTTCCGCTGATGCGTAACCTTCCCAAAGAATTGCTTCACCAATTTCTGAATTCGCTGGTGGGTCCAATAGTTCAATGCGCGTATCGTCTGGAGAAGAGACAGCTAAAAGCATTGCCTGAGACTCGATACCTTGAAATTTGGCTGATTTTAAGTTGCATACTGCAAGAACTTTTCGGTCTTGCATTTCTTCCAAAGGGATAAAAGATGCTAGACCTGAGACTACGGTACGAGTTTTACCAGAACTGTCACCGACGTCTACAGTTGAAACATAAGATTTAGGATTTTGTGGGTGAATCTCTGCTTTAAGGATTTTCGCAACCCGAACATCTGTTTTTAGTTAAAAAAGAAAAAGTTGAAGTTTAATATGAAAGAAATGAGCATGCCTCATCTCTCTCTCACTGGCCGAAATGGATATTCCGGGTAGCACAAGCCAATAAGGGAGCGTAAATTTTTGATCAGCCCGGCAAAACAAATCCGGCACAAGAAATGGAAAAAATGCGAAAAAAATGTGAAAAATACGGGAAGCATATGCCTAAATCTAGCTTATCGCACTAATTAAAAATGTCGGGAAGGTGATTTTACGTATTAACCTTAACCCTTATCCTGACCCTAAACATAGCGCTTAACATGTATTTGTCATGTGTTTTGTATCACAGTGAAATAAGTAAAATGAAGTACCTATTCTTGATACATCGATTTTCTCATCGATTTTTTTCTCACCAATTTGTAGATTGTGTTTTTTCGATTCTTTTTTCTTTGTCACTTTTACACTTGTATCAGGATAAGCATCATTTGTCAATTTAGCGAAGTCCGGGTGACTAGCCCATTTCTTTCGGATAGGACCTAATATATTATCAATAGCTAGTGCTGCTGCAGCCTTTAAATCTCCGGGATGTACTTTTTTCTCGCGAAAATCATCCTCCAATAATTTATATTCTATGTAAGTGACATCTCCTCCATATTTTTCTGGTCGTTTGATCACAAATTTTGGTGTTTGCCCATTAAGGGAACCAAGCGGGAACAAGACCGACTTAACGAACGATAAAACGCCATTATCAGTTATATTTCCTTCTTCGCAAAAAGCTTTCTTTAACTTTCGGTTGATTGTTGATTCATCATCAAGAAGATCAATCTTTGAATCCACGTCCGATGAAGACATCTTTGATCCTTGAAGACCAGGAACCATCGGATTCATTAAATGTGCACGTTTTTTGTAGCCAAGATGTGGTAAATATTTTTCGGCATAGACAAAAATTTTTCGTTGATCAACGCCACCAAATTGCGCGTCCACACCCAAATATTCTTCGTCGAGAGCTTGTAGTCCAGGGTAAAGTAAACCGGAAAGTAACGGAGATTCAACTTGCTTTACTACTTCGGCACCTGCTTTCTTGGCATCATGTTCCGTTACCGTGGCGCAGAGTCGATATTGATCTAAATTGTATTTTTCGGATAATTGATAGCTTGAACCGACTACGAATTTTAATTTATCAATTGGAACACCAATCGATTCTAACAGAGCCTTGATTAATTCTTCGTAGTATTTCGTACGAAATTTAACTAATTCAAGTGGAGCTTTCATATTGTCAAGGAAAGCGTGTATATCAGCCAAAAGGATCGTCACCTAAAGAATTCACGATTTTATATAAGTATTATAAAACTCCTTTAAATTAAATTCATAAAATATAAATACCTCGACTCCTGCCGAAAGAAAGTCTGCAATTTTCGACATTGGGACAAAGTAACCAATATGAGGTTTTCCCGTTGGTGCTGTGCCCCAGTAAAGCTTCAAGTCCCTTTCGGCGAGGATTTTCATTATTTCCTCACCACCAATTACTTCTTGTAAATTTCTTGTTATGAGGTCATATTTTTCTTGAACAGATAAGGTAGCTTCAGAGTTTGATGACATTGTAGTAGATTAATGAAATAGATTTTTGATTATCTCACAAATGCGTTTTGACCAGTGATTCGCGATTTAGAATTATCCAATGGCATAAAGGTATATATCTCCAATAACAATATATATATATATCGATATCGATATATCGACAATGCCATCATCGTAGTTTATCATCATTAGATAACAATGGCGGTGGATACGACACCTTCTTTACAAGCTATTATCTTTCATCAAATGTTGTTTCTTTTTTCTGGATTTTTTCAAACTTTGGGGGCACAATACTTATATTATCAAGGGGCTGCCAGTTAGTATTTTTATGAGCTATACTATTATGATATTTCGACAATGAAAGAGGTACTAACGTTTTCGGGCCTCTCAACATCTTTTCATAGCTGGAACTAGGTACTGAGTTATGCTTAAGTCTTAAAGGTTTAACATATTTCATCAAGTAAACATCACACATAAGCTACTCAGGTTTAAAATAAAATCTATTGAAATTTTATTATTTTATTTACAGTCTTCTCACGAATACTGCCTCTTATTTAGGCATGGCTTCGGTGGGTTTACTTCTATTACCCATGCAATGGACAAATATAATACGTCGTAAACCTAGTTCTCCTGGAACAGAAATTGACATGGTTGCCATGGGTGCAGGCCAGGTCTGTGATAACTATATTTCGTTAAGCTTAAAATTCCATTTGAAATTATAAGTTTTTTTTCCCATGACAGAATACCAAGGATTATAGTTTATTACCTGATGACGACGAGGATCTTGAAAATGATCATGATGTTATCGATCGCTCTGTTAATGAAACACAACATGACGTAAACTATAAATCGATTATTAGGATCTCATCATTGGACGTATGCGCCAACTTTTTATTAACAATTGGATTTTTTTATATTGGGAGTGGAGTGAGTTGTCATTTCGTTAATTATTTTGTTCGTTAGATCATTTGTAATCTCTTGAATTCTAATTATTAATGAATGTATTTATGAAAGATGTTTCAAGTGATTTATAGTTCAGTTGTTGTATGGTGCGCGATACTCTCTTTCTTTTTCCTTCAACGAAAAATTTCGTTGGTGCAATGGTTTTGTATTATTGGTGTATCTTTTGGATTGGGTATCAGTGCAGTTGGTATCGAAAGTAGTGATCAAGGAGAACATAAAGCTCCACCACCGACTACGACAACATCTGGACCAGTATTACTTCATTCATTTAATTTATCATCGACTGGATTTGGAACGATGCTCACGTTCGTCGCCACATTTTTATATTCTTGCGTCTACGTATTATCCGACAAGATTCTATCAACCAAAAATCATCCAAACATAAATCCACCATCACCGGAAAAAACATGTTTTCTTGTTGGAAGTTGCTGCAGTTCGTTCTCGTTAGTCTATCTACTTGTTTACACAATTCCGAATTGGGACAAACTGGTGATGCAAGAAATGATCACGAAAAAATCGGATATTACAACGCCGGTGATTATCATAATTTATATACTTTTGATTTTTGCCGCTTTTATTCATAATTTCGCGTATTTTTCTCTGATGCAATCCACCGGGAATATTTCGACGGGGTTATTGAATTCGCTGAGAGCGATTGTGGTGTTTGGATTAAGTCATTTGTTGTTTTGTAAGATTGATCCAGGTCAATGTTTTAATATTTGGAAAGGGTGGAGCGCGTTAGTTGTTATTGGGTGTGTTACTGTGTTCTCAGTAAGTAAAGCGAGAGAGAAGTGAAGTTATATTTATTTGTTAATTTAGATGAAAAATAAAAAAATTCAATTGCCGATTTCTCCCTTTATAACGGACCTGTTAAACCGGATCTCTCATCATAGTCGAGTAATGTTATTATTTTGAATTTTCCTAATACGTATGTATGTTGTGACATTGTATCATATGTAAGCTGTAAAATTGACCAATTAAAATCACTTGTACACCTACCATTTTTAAATTAGTATTTTCGCGGGATTAAACGCGGAAATTATTGAATTTCAGAATGAATTTAATATGATTGGTCAAATATCGATCAATATCGTTATTTTCTAATTTAATTGGCCATTCATAACCAAATTTGAACATCACGTTTGCAGCGCAGTTGTTTTTGTATACTTTCAACTTTCCCGAATTTCTTCTTGCTATATTTTACTCTGGAGAAATCTAAAAAACAAAACTCCCTTCACAAATAAATTATTGCAAAAACAATGGACCTCTTTTTCGGGAAATCAAAGCCAAAGGCAAATCCCAAAGATGCCATTGTTCGTCTGCGCGATACTCTAAGCATGTTGGAGAAACGTGAAAACCATTTGCAGAGTAAAATTGACGCAGAACTTGAAATTGCTAAAAGAAATGCTACTGGAAATAAGAGAGGTGTGTGGTTTTTGATTTCTTCACACAAACAAATGACAACAAAGTATACATTTGGCCTCTTAATGAGCGCAATAGCATTCAAATGCTTTTTTTGTGTAGCAAGAGTCTCACGACATAAAAATAGTTGAACTATTCACGCGTACATTTTCATGTTTCGTGTCATGCCACTTGTTTTCTTCCCTTTTTCTTCGCGTATTTTTCATATATCGCGTATTAGTTGCGTTTTTATCGAAATGCACAAAAAGTTGATCCATAATTAATGAAGTTCTGAACTCTTTTCTGTTAGCTGCATTGATGGCACTTAAACGGAAAAAGCAATACGAGAATCAAATCGAAAAGATATCCGGTGCACGTCTAACAATTGAAACCCAAGTGATGGCGATTGAAAATGCAAATGTCAATCTAGAGACTATTAAAGCTATGGAAAAAGGGGCTGAAGCAATGAAAACAATACATGGATCAATGTATGCAAGCTTAGAGGTTAACCTGTTAACCTGTTTTTTTTTTATTGTTTAAGCACGTCATCATACGCTTAATATATTAATTACAGGGATATTGACAAAGTGGACGACACAATGGAATCGATACGTGAACAAATGGAATTGGCAGATGAAATATCGAATGCAATTTCTTTACCGGTGGCGGGTCTGGATGGAATAGATGACGTACGTTATTGTGCCATTATGCTACTACTACTATTATTATTAAGAATTTATCTCATCTAACAACTATAAATATCTTTGCAGGATGAATTGACAGCCGAGCTAGAAGAATTAGAGCAAGAAGCCCTGGATAAACAATTACTGCGTGCAGATGCACCTCCTGTCACAGTTCCAAATGTTCCACTTGGCGAACCAGGTATATAATGAATATTTCCTCTTTTTTTTTTTTTTTTTACGTTTCTCATTATCACAATAATTTGTTTTAATTGTTAATCGAATTATTTCTAATAAAAATAGGAAATAAGATACGACCAGCCGAAGACCTCGAAGAAGATGCAGAACTAGAAGATTTGCGAGCGGCGATGGCGTTGTAGTTTCCTGTCTGTTTCTATTCATTTAATTCATCTCCGTCTCTTCAGCTCTATATATATAAAATAAGATATGGAATCTTACCTAGTCTAATGAGCAAAGTATTTATTAGAAATTTCTCAAATCCCTCCGCTGCTATATTAATGCATAGATGATTATTATATTATCGGTTTTATTTTTAATTGATGTCGAACAATTATTTTGGCTTTTATTTCTCTATATGTTTTGAAACTGAAATGATGGGTAGCATGACATTCTAATATTAAAAAATGTGAATTACGTACACGCAGATTGACATAAATAATTATTGATTACCGATTCATTTGACCAAAACTTGTTTACTTTGTTGCAATGCGTTCAACTCTATTACTCATATTTTTACTAACCGTGCTCAAGTAAGTTTAAGTAAGGTCTTCATATATTACATTTACATCTTATAACGGTCAACGCATTTATTTTAGTGTTCTTGCTCCTATAACCTTCGCGGAAAATACACAAAATGTTGAAGGGCGACTAATCACAAATCATGTATTAGATGGTAGGTATTGCTTTACACCTTTGATCACAGCGTGATGTTTTATATATTACTTTATGTCTATATATTAACTATACTTGAAAGATTTAGCAAACTTAGAACCAACGACTCGGGTAATGCTGCATGGGGGAAAAGGTTACTCTGCTTTGGTTCGTAAAGACGGCAAATTTGTAATGTAGGTGGGAAGAATCTGCGTTTTTCTGTAGTAATCGTTTTTTTTGCCTTTTTATTAATTACTTATTTTGTATTTTTTTTTTCTCAGAGATGATGTCGCGCCGGGATCATATCTACTGGATGTTTTATCACGGAAATATATATATCCTAAGGTACAGTATAGATTTATTTTATTACGACAAAAGAAATCGAAATAATATGTTTGTTATATTTATTTATCATAGTTAAGGGTGGATGTGAGTGGCATGGGAGTAACACAATTTCTTACAATGCCTGGTTTCGAATGGGGAAGTTTAGGTCCAGCGGTATCGTATCCATTAGAATTAGCACCAAGAGACACCGCTAAATACTTTGTGGTAATTTTTTGATTTTCATATTTATTTTTTTCTCATCTCAAACCAACATCAATTTTTCGTTATCATTAGGAACGAGAAGGATTCAGCATCGCCAGCATTTTCGCAAATCCATTGTTAATAATGATGGGAGTTAGTGTGCTAATGCTCTTTGTTATGCCAAAGATGATGGCGAATTTAGGTATGAGGGATTCGCGAATATGCGCGTGTATAATTTTTTTCTAATCATTATTTTTTTCATAGATCCCGAAGAATTGGAACAAATGAAAAAGAATCAGCCTGCTATTAATCCTCTCGAGCAATTACCTGACATTTCGAGTACTTTGGCAAACTGGGGGAAAGATAAAGGGAATAAAAAATAATTATTATATATCTATGCATACCTTTGGATCTTCTTTCGAAGAATATGTGAACAGTGAGCTTGAGAATTGGAACATTAGTTTTCATTATGTTATTTACATATTAAATTAAATCATTCTCTTTTATTAATGTAATTCAAATCTTTTGCTTAATTTATCTTTTTACTCTCATCATCATCAATAGTAGTTATTAATATGAACTGACAAAACATATTAAAAATAAATACTGATGATAAAATTCATTATATTACATCTGTATTTCAAAATACCAATTAATAATCAATTACACGTTTTTCGCCACCCGACCAACCCCGTTTATTGTCCTGATCCTCGATGTTATTTTGTCTTCTAGAAACCAGACCTCCGAAATGTAGCGCTCACAGTACTCTGCAGCGTATTGGTAACCGTGTTAGCCAGATTTGCACCAAGATCTCGAGCAGCAGCTCCGGCGCCACTTCCGGCTATTGTAGCCATAGTTCCCGTTCGTTTTTTGAGTTTATTTGCTTCGTTCACGGCAGAGACAATTTCAATGAGGTTTGTTTCTAAAACCTGTTATTATTATTATTATCGAAAACATTATAATAACACGACGATAATTAAAAAGAAAGGCAGAAAGCTAGCAGAGTAAATGCGTGCATACCATTCCACCCGAGATTACTTCTGCCAAGATGTTGTGAACCTGTTACAATAATGATATTAAAAAGGAGAAAACATGTTCATCATAGGAGAAACCAGAGCTGTAACAAAATTATTAAATACATCTTCGAAATGAAATATCTATAAAAAATGATAGAAAGTGTCAGAAAAATAATTTTCCAAGGAATAAAAGCAAAGTTAGCAACACAAATAATCAAATAATTGTCGTCATATACCAGATCAAGTTCGCAGACATTCTCGAAACATCGATCTAAACTTTCAACGAAAACCTTCATATAAAATTATGGATAATATTATGTGAAGGATTTATTTGGTTTCGAGACTCGAAAATATTTCGAAATAAATAAAAAAATGTACCTGGATTAAGTCAAGAATGCCTAGTTCGCTTTCAGCCTCGTCCACCACAAAAACAAAGTATAGTGTGGCGTAATGCCGGTAGATAATGCGAGTGTCTTTGCCTCCTAACATTTGACTTCCCTCGAGGAAGTTACATACAGTGTCTGGGCGTTTCGATACAAGAGAAAAGATTTCTTGTATTAGGGCTTGTTGTGTCGCTATATCCTTAAAGTAATTTGCATAAAAAAGCCATCATTAGACAGATAAGAAGCAAGGGCATTCACGGTATTTCATGACTAGTCGAAACGTACAATTTGCTGATAAAACTTTGTAAGACGAGGTTTTCCATGGTTGTTGAAAATTAGAACAGACTTTATCATATTATTCGAATCGAGCAAATGAAGGTTAAACGTTTCTACCACCTGATTTGGCATTTTATGCATTTTATGGATCTTTTGTCGTGTTTGTCACGCGAAATTTTTGAAGAAAAAATGTTCAATAAAAGAAGAAAAACAAAAGCAAAAGTCATTACCGCCGGTACCCTACCAAGAAAACCCATAAAGCCCAGAATTTTCCAACCTTTTCGTGCTATCGGTTATGTCACTAATGACGTCCCGTTCACCCTTCAAGCCAGAGGAACTGCATTTTTCCTCACAACTTGTGTTGGAAATAGCTTTCATATATATGATGTACGTGGTGCTCCTACTTGTGCCTGAAAAGTTTCATTTTTTAAAGGTTTAGATAACTTTTTCCTTCAAGTGCACAAAATTGAATTTGTTATTTGTAGGTAGGCTCAGAAAAAAAATTAGTTCTACAGCTTTTTGGGATTTTTAACTTGCATTCTTTGTTGATGTGGTTTAATTGTTTATAATTAGGACCACAAACAGAACTCCCCATTACGGCAATAGCTTCTTATAATGATTCTACTTTCGTAGCTTGCTCCAAAGAGATAATTGTCTTTAGTAGAGCTAAAGAGGTAATGTTTACACTCAACCAATCAATTTCTTTATTTCATCATATATGATTATATGGAAGTGATATCATTGTTTCCTACAATCTCGAAGCTTAGGCGATTGACCAGCAAAAATCAGGGAAATATTTTTTCATTGATGGTGTTAAGCCACTTCCTGATTGCTATGAGTGATGACAACAAAATAATTTTGTGGAATTATGACTCTGGAGGTGAGTAACTTTATGTTATTATTCGATTCAAACCTCCGTACATAATTTCTAATTGATCTTCCGTTATAGAGTTTTACACTGAGCTTGAATTTGACGAGAGATTTACTGTGTCGGCGATTGTACATCCACACACATATCTCGATAAGATATTAATAGGAAGTATTCAAGGGACAATGGAAATTTGGAACATTCGTACAAAGTAATTGATAAAAGATATATTGCCGTATATAAAAATTTTTGATAATTCAATGTATTTTTAATAATATATTTAATTTGTATTAGCAAATTGGTATATTCGTTTTCCTCATTCAGTTCACCTATAACAACACTTGTTCAATCTCCAGTCGTGGATGTCATTGCTGTTGGCTTACTTGATGGCACCATAATACTGCATAATATCAAAGCTGATGAAAGAATAGTAACATACACCCAGGAAGGTCGAGTAACATCTATAACTTTTAGAACAGGCAAGTATACTAATCACCAACATCTGTTTCTTCGTGAACCACCATTAATATTATAAATATTTAGATGATCAGCACGTTATGGCAACTGCGAATATAAATGGGGATATTGCCCTATGGAACCTGGATCGAAAAAATTTGTCTCACGTGATGAAGGGAACACACGATGGATTAATTCCTGCTATTCAGTTTCTCAATGGACGACCCATTTTGATTACGTCGGGTGCTGATAATTCTGTGAAGGTGCGTGTGTGAATGGGAAAGAGGAATGTTATATATTTTATAGCATTCAATTTTTTTATATTGCAAATTTAGGAATGGATTTTTGATAACTTAGATGGATTACCACGTCTGCTTAAATTTAAGAGTGGTCATCATTCACCGCCAACTACCATTCAGTATTATGGTTCTGATGGTCATTACATTCTGAGTGCTGCTGCGGATAGATCATTAAGAGCTTTTTCGATTGTACGCGATTCTCAATCTGTCGAGCTTTCACAAGGTTACACACACATTAATGGATTAATATACCCTTCATAATAGTCGTAGGGATTTCTTCATTTAATTGCTTTACTCAAATTAGGCTCAGTAGATAAGAAATCAAAAAAATTGGGTGTAAAAATAGATGAGCTTAAATTACCACAAATAACCCAATTTTCTGCCGGTAAGTTGTCATTATTTGCGTTCTTTTTTCGCATAAAAAATATCAATTTCTTGAATATTAATAGATTTTATTGTTATTCGTTTAGTCCAAGCAAAACAACATGAATGGGACAATATTCTTTCTTGTCATCTCAATATGCCATACGCGTGGACTTGGTCCTATCGACATAAAGTCATTGGAAAGTTCAAGTTTACGCCGCGCGATGGATCACATGTTAAAGTACGATCAAAATAGAATGTACAAGTAATCGAGTTTATATATTAAAAACTAATGTTATACATTGTTTAAAGGCCGCAGTCATAAGTGGATGTGGTAATTTCGGGTTTATTGGATCTTCGTCTGGCTGTATAGAAATGTTTAACATGCAATCCGGACAGCACCGTAAAACTTTCGCTGGCCCAGATAGTAAATAAAATAATTTTTTTTGGTGCGTGTTATTTGTGTTATTAATGCAATTCTTGATTTTTTGAATAGGGCATGATAGATCTATCACTGGCTTGACAAGTGATCCCTTAAATCGATATATAGTTAGTAGCTCGCTTGATGGCACAGTCAAGGTAAATGTTTGGTTTTTGTTGCAAAAAAGAAATCTAAACTTTAATTATCGTGATCCTTGTATCAACAACATTATAGATATGGGATTTTACAAGCACCGAAGTGATAAATACCATTTACATATCATCCCCCATCACCATACTAAAATGCCAAACCGAAAGCAATCTTTTAGCGATTGCTAGCGATGACTTTACCATTCGCGTGATCGATGTCGATACACGAAAGATAGTAAGAGCGTTCAGCGGGCATCGAAATAGGATTACGGATCTTGTAAGAATTATATTATATAAAATTGCATCAGCTGCTTTTTCTAAAGGTTGGATATTCATGTATAATATTCATGTATTATTAGACATTTAGCCATGATGGTCGATGGATCATTTCAAGTTCCCTCGATTCAACTATTCGTACTTGGGATCTCCCATCTGGTCATATGGTAGATATATTTCGAGTGGATAGCGTCGCAACTAGTGTCTCGTTTTCACCTACGGGTGACTTTTTGGCGACATCTCATGTCGGTGATGTCGGAATATTTTTATGGTAAACACAAGAAAATGGCTTTTTTCAATAAATTTAGGAGGTAAAAAATGTTGAATTGCCTTATATTTATCACCTTACAGGGCAAATCGTGCACAGTTTTCTAGCCTGTCATTAAGAAGCGTGTCTGATGACGATATCTTTGATGTTTCATTGCCTACTACGTCAGGATTCGATAATGATGTTGAGGGTATGCATATTTATAATAAAGATTAATTTGTCGATTTCATTTTATTAATTCTGACTTTTACTATACTTCTTGCATTTGTATCACTTAGACGATATTGCCAACCAAACGAATGGCGATGGAAAAGATTTGCCTTTTTTTTCGTCCGAGCAATTAACCGAACAAATGATTACACTATCAACATTACCGAAATCAAAATGGCAGAATTTGTTGAATTTGGAAATTATTAAAGTAATTGATGCTTTAGCAAATATCACAGAGATATCTATAATCTTTTTTATTGTTAGTTTTTTATTCGCTATCATTCCATTCGACTTTAGAAACGCAATAAACCTAAAGAACCGCCAAAAATTCCCGAGAAAGCCCCGTTCTTCTTGACAACTTTACCTGGTGTGGAACCAAAATTTGTTGTCGAAGAACAAAATAAGGAAAGGAATAAGATAGCAAAAAACGATAATAAGCTTGTGAAGTTGAGTGAAATCCGAATGGAAACAGAATTTATAAAGTTATTGGAAAAGGGTAAAGATTCTGGAGAGTGTAAGTTTTTACGCCATGTTTTTGTTGCTATATTTTGATATTGACAAATAAATTCATTTTGACATTGATTATTTATTATACTCGAATAATTGTCAGACTCGGAATTCTTTAATTTTATCAAAACACTCAACCCATCCAGCATAGATTTCGAACTTCGTTCCATGAACTTGGACAACAACTTCCAAGACTTACAATTATTCCTGGACGCAATCGAGTCACGGCTCCAATCAAGAAAGGACTTTGAATTGTGTCAAGCATATCTAAACCATTCTTTGCGAATATATGGCGACATAATTGTCGCAAATCCGGATCCATTGGGAATAAGATTGCAATCGATTTTGGACGAGCATCAAAAAGAGTGGTCGAGAATAGAAGAATTGTTGCAGTATAATTTGTGTATGTTGGACTTCTTGCGAAAATGAATAAACTGAGATTTTTTTGTAATTTTTTAAATACAAATATGCATATCTCTTTAAATAGAAATAATAGTGGTGTATAATAAATTCATTCAAACAAATTACATCCATATTGATAATAGGATATTTTTTTTGGTGTTGTCTATATTAAATTTGCCTGTATTTTAATCATCGAACGGATATTCAAAGGGTTCCGGTGGAGGAGCTTCTTCCTCTTCCGCAGATTCGTTTGCTTAATTAGACAAAAATTTGCTTAGATATTTCAAAGAGTGAAAGAAATATAAATGTCTCAGTGATGAAACCAAGAACTCAAAACTTACCAGCTGGTGCACTAGGTAGAATCAGCTCTTCAAGTTCATCGGGTTTTTGATCCTTCATCATCAAAATTCCACCCACGATTCCCTAAATGAAAAAAAATCAAATAAGCAAAATCATCGAAGACACATCAAATGATCTATTCAATATTAAGTAAAGCTAGGAATTGAAACACACTTTCTTTACAGGTATATATCGTGAATCTTCTTTGAATGATATATATTGCAACTGTGCGGGTAATACTCTTGCCATGTTCTCTAGAACTTCAAACGATTCTTCCTTTTTCTTTTTTCCTTTTTTATCTTCTTTAGTCTCATCCTAAATAGAAAAAGGAATATATTTTAATGATGGCGAGATGATAATTTCTGTTTGGAGAATATTAATACATGAAAATAGTAACTATTATGATTTGACTACCTTCTCTTCTTCTTTTTTTGCCTCTTCCTTTTTCTCGTCCTGAATATTATACAAATGAATTATTTAGTTTATCAAAGTCTAAATAGTGCTTTGTAGATAAATTCAAAAAATACCGTTTCCATCGCATCGGGGATTTCATGTCCTTTCTCTTTTTCCGATTTCTTCGCTCTTGCTTTAGCTTTGGCAGTTGTAGAAAGTACAGCAGTCGCAACCTTTTATGATGTATAATATGACGATGTGAATAATTATAAAGTGACAGATTTTGTTTTTGTGTACATAATCAAAAAATCAAGTAATACCTTTTCTACGACATTTGTCGCCGGAGGTTTTGTAGTCGCAGGATAAGCAAATAGCGAAGGTTTTGCATTGGAAACAAACTCAAATTTAGGGATCTAATAAATTCCAAATAATTTGAAAGTTAAGTTCAACTAAAATAAAATAAAATAAAATAGGAATAACAGAAATAACAACTTTACCTTCAATTCCTTATTTAAACCAATAATAGCAGTAGATGTGAACGATAAACTCAAAAAGTGTGTCAACGGGAACCAGTACCAGAATTGGGTGAATACTGCCATACCAACTATGGCAGGCATGTTCGAATGGCCAGATCTTGATTGCAAGGAAATTGTCACATTTCTGCCACCTAATATTCAGAAAAACATTCGCTGTGAGATCAATTATCAAACTGGATATACTTTATCCCATTACCCATCCAAAAGAAATAATAGATACCAGCGTCGATAATTCCTTGACCAAGAACAGCTCCAAATTTTGCCATCGCATCTTCATGTTTATCATTGATTATTTTTTCGTATAATTTACGGATAGCAGAAACCTATAATTATTTGTTAAGAATTGAGTATAACAGTAATCTGCTAAAATCGATAGGCTTTCTTTCGGGGTCTGATATCATCTAGATTATACCTTTGGATTTATTGCATCATTCTGTTGTATCAAAATCATCGCAAGAGAAATAAAAGCACCTTGTCGAACATAATCAACTGGATCTTTAGTCATTGGCTCTAAAAGTTCAATGGCTTCCTGGGATTAATTGGGAGAAAACGCAATTACTAAGTTTATGTGACCAAATTTACAAAAATTCAAAAAAAAAGAACCAAGTAAGAAAAAGCAGCCAACCGTCAATCCAGTTCCAGCACAGGATATACCCAAAGCTAGAGTAGCCCCATATCGTACATTCGGATTATAGCTTTCTGACAAAAGTTGAACTATTCGAGGAACCTGCTTTGGTGTTCTGAACAAGAGGAACCCTAGAGCCGTCACGGCAGCACGACGTACATCGTCGTTAACATCACTGACAGCAACATGCAATAACCGCCTAATTGCTTTATTATTGCCTGTGCCGCAGTAAGCTAATGCTACTGTATAAATACCGCCATAACGCAATATAGGATCCTTATATGAATAATTTAGTATATTAGTGTTGTTGTCCAATATTCGAATAAGAAAAGATCGAACAATATGCATACTTTATTCCGACTAAGCTGTTCCACTAATGCATCTGCTGCTTCTTCTTTGCCATACATTATCAAAGCGATACCGATTGCCAATCCACGAATAATTTTTTCATGTTGAGTATCGTGGGCATATTGCAACATTTCCCCAATTGCCTTGCTTGATGCGGTTCCAAGCATCACAAGACCCATTGCGAGTCCTGCTGCCTCGCCAGCAACAGCACTATCACTATATAATACAGCTTTGAGTTCCTCATATATCTCTTTATTTTTACAATTAAAAAAGTAATATAATTTATCAATTTAATAGAAGAAAACTCAACAAGTAGAATTTGTGATATTAAAAAACCCCGAATAAATACCATCATTTCCAGTCGCTGTACCAGCAGCACCAAGACCCAAACAAGCGCCATGTTGCAATACCTCAGTCTGAGTGGTACTATTTAACGCATTCCTTAGATAATCGAGCACTCCAGCGCCATGATTTGCATGAATGAGACCCAACGCGAACAATGAGCCCCCTTCGGAATAAGAACTAGCGTTTACACCTTCTTGGGGTAAATAAGGTGCCAGCAAAGCAAGACCTTGTGATAAATGTCCCTAAAATTTCAAAATGACGTAAGCATACTTTTCACTAGTAAAAACGATTCGAGGATATAAATGATGGATGTTTGTAGTACTTTATGTATCACTCCTAACGCGGCAGTTGCACTGAATTTTGACCAATTGGTAGCACGTGAAAGCCACTCTAGATTCTGACGAAGGAATTCATCACTTGTGGTGCCAGCGTGCATGAATGCATTAGCGAATGTAACAGCCGAATGGTAAACAGAATTACGAGATTCTAAAGCATTCTGTAAGAGAATACTTAATTAATACACACAAGTTGATAATGACGATGAATAATGTAAACTGGCAAAATCTTTTATATAGTACTTTAGTATTTTTCAGAATTAATAAATCCGTGTGATTGTTGCGATATAAAAATTCCAAATGTAATTTAATTGATTCTTCTCCCGAGAGAATGCTACGTATCCGAGTATATTTCTCTTCATTAGGATCTCTTTGCTGGGTTTTCTGTATTATTAACGAAAAAAAACATTTAACGAAGTTTATTACTAAATGATTTTATAGGAAAAACCCCCAAAAAACAATACCGGTTCCTCTGCTTCGTCTGTTTCCATTGCATCTTGTTTTTCCGCTGCACTTGATGTAGAAACCGCCGCCGCCGCAGCAGGAGAAGGTAACTGGCTTACAACTTTCTGAAGGAACTCTTGTGTAGCATTCTCTTCAAGATCAAATGCAATTTGATAGGCCATCAACAAATAATCCTTTTCAAATGTAAATATAATGAGTCTCGGGACGATTGAAGTTCGAGAAAAGCGATTTGAAATAAAATAACCTGTTTCGTACATCGTCGCCTTTTGAGACAAGATCTTGTAATAATTTTGCGGCTAAAATTGGATCATTAAGATGTACAAAACATTGACTGATTGAAACATAATCGGGTTCTTCGAGGTTTTGATATACTTTGACTAATAGTCCCAAAACCTAAAATAAAATTTTATAATAACCGTTAATATTATCGAATAATCAAGAATGATCATTAGTTCATATCGAACGATTTTTCACCTTGTTTCTAAAATCCAAGTTATGCACCAATGTCATGCCAACATCAAGCACATAGCTCAAAAGTTCAGAAGCGTTTCCTTTCGATATTGCCTGCTCAATTATGTCTAAACGACGCGATTCCAGTGCGATACCGATGGCCTTTTATCAAAATTTTTTATTTACTTATGACAGCTCCACATTGGAAGTTAACGTCCTATTAGTGTCATATGAAGTTTCGCACCTGTTTAAATTCATCGTCATCGTAACACCTTTGAAACATTCGTTCAACAACATCTTCTAATCGGGGATCGATTTCGATTTCACCGGAAGGACCTTCGTAATGTTTAACACGCAAGGTGATATATCGGTCTATACACTTTGCTAGATAAATTGCACCCATAATAAATATAGATTACTTCACATAATGTATTTTTATATTAAACGAAAATAGAAAACGTACATATAATAGTCTCAACGTATTCTGATTTTGATGACGCGTCAAATAAATTTCCTGCGCCTAGAGCAAAAGTTAAAGAGTCTTCGAATTCGCCGAGATGATAGTACACCTAGTTCATATATAAAGCAATTGAAGATATGGATACTTTCTACTTTGATAATTCATTCGATCAATTTTACTCACTTTTGATGCAACAAGAGCAGAAAGTTCACGCTGAGGAAATTCCTCATCTTCGTACAGGATTTCGCTAGATACATGCAAAACACGTTGAGTAAACAATTGCATGCAGAGTAACAAATGAAATTAAAAGTTTGCAAAACATAAGTAAAGTGATATTCTTTGATGAATTGAATGCGAGATTTACACGTACTATTGACCACAATAACCAAAAACCTACATTTTAGAAATCGCGTCTGCAATCTCGGCCCAAAACTGATCAACTAAGGTGTTTAGCTTTCTAAGTGCATATACTTTTAACTCTTCTTCTGACTCGTCGAGCAAGGCAATAATACCACCTTTAGGATAAATTTTTACAGTAATTAAAAGACAATATCATCAGTATGGCTTTCTCGATTTAATTAATATGTTCAAGTAGATACTACCGGCTGAAGTAAGTCCCACCATTGTTTAGAATCAAATATCAAATAAAATTGTGAACAAATTTTTTAAATATGAATGCAAAAAATTCGCCCATTACGTATGCGTGATACGTCATTTTTTTAAAAAAATCGATACATTATTACAAGGACAGAAAGAATGGAATAGCATTATTTCTTTATCACTATTACTATTATTATTATTATTAATATTAAATAGTAGTTGTCTATTTTACATTATTACGAAGATACCGGTTATCTACTTATTATATTATCCTTTAGTCTATGATACATTTCCCTAGCGGGGGGGACTCGATGAAAAATGCCTCTAGGAAATTATGGCAGAAAAGGTCTCTTTTAACGTTATAAGAAAATGGGTATTGTACAATCATATAAGAAAAAGTAAAAGTCTTTCGTATCCAGTACGATCTTTCGCTTTCGCCAAATATAAACGCCGTTCCCAAAATTTGATGAAATCACGCAAATCTGACTCAAAAATGATGACTTTCATTAGACAAAAAAGACTCGCCATCACAATTATTAGATGGAAACTGCTGCAAAATATACGAGAGGAGAGAATTGTTCTTTGGCTTTTTTTTAGTGAGAATGTCAAAAAAGAGGTTATTATTATATGTTTTGATCTTCTTCGGAATCAGAAGTATCGTCGCGCAGGTCTGTTAATCCAATGTTCTCTTCTTCTTCGAAAGCGCCTAGCAATGTAGCATCTCTTCTCAACGTGATTGAACTACGTTCATCACCCGTCAATGACGCTCTTATGAGGCCATTTCCATTTTGATGCATCGGTAATTTATCCCGTAATAACTGAAGTTCCGATTTCGCGGTATTTAAAACATAAACTCCGAGGAATATTGTCAGGAAGCCGCAGAAAAGACTGACGACGTTCACTGTATTACTAGTGTTAAATCCTTGAAAAAGAATTACGGAAGCGAATATCGTTGATGTTGTAAAGAACACATAGTAAATGGGATTTACTCTATTTAACAAATTAATGAGAATATGATTAATTAGTAATAAGAATCGATGTATTAAATAGAAAACCGAAAACTTACATATTTGTCGAGAATTGGTCAAGCGCTTTATTGAAGTAATTCATCTGAGTCACGATGCAGACCGCTGATATTATCACAAACACGTAGGTTGAAGGATGGGAGAACTGGTTGTTGCCAGAAAATGACAGCTTTAGCGCAATGCCAAATCCTTTACATGACATGACGGATATCGATCCAACCAACGAACAAATTGAAAGATAGACCAACGGACTTTTTTTGCCGTATTTTGGGACAAGTCTCTTGATCATGTAAACAGTAAATCCAAAAACAAACACGCAATATATTAGAAATACTAAATTGAGAAAAATTGCATAGGGTTATTAGCAAAAAACCGAAAAAAATTATCAGAGAAAAAAATCCAAAAAATTACCTGGTTTTAAAGCATAATTCAAAATTTCATCGACGGTTCTTATTTCTTTATCGCCAGGAGCGTGTAACACAATCATGACAGAACCAATTAGACATAATGCACATCCTACTTTTCCATAACGTCCAAGCTTCTCGTCAAGAATTAGCGATGCAAGTACGGCACTATGAGAATTTATAAAAAGTCCGGATAAATGCCAGTAGTAATTATAAAAAATTATATAAACACGAAAAATGTTAGTTACCCGATTAAAACACTAAGAGCACCAAGTGGAGTAATGAGAATTGCAGGTGCAAAAGAATATGCTGCAAAATTAGCCAATTCACCCACAACCACTGTTAAAAGAAAAAAATTTATAATTCCCATCTTGTCAATCACTTTGAACAGAACCAAATTAAAAATCAATGCTATCATAAAAATAAAAATCGCATCATACTGGTTAGCATTCCTCCCCACCATATTGGATTTCTTAGATATTTATGATCTTCACTCGCTGAACCTAAACAACAATTTATCATTATATGAATTCGATAGTAATACATTAGTGAAATGCAAAGTCGCAAAATTCATACCATGTCTATCTGTCGTATCGATTAATCCTTTTTTCGTTATAATGAAGGAGCTGCCGATCGCCACGCTGGACGAGATGGCTAAAATAACCCCAATGTATTTGTCTTCGAGCATTTTGATTTGAACACGTGTGTAATATATCGAAAGAAACAGTAGCAGTCGCACACAGTCGTATAAATATTTAAAGTGGTGCCTTCCAGGTAATTTTTCTTTTGATTGCAAGATGGTTGTCACCAGGACAAATTCAAAAAGTCGCTGATGTAGTTAGAGGAAATCTTTAAAGACACCACAAATGGGAAAAGGAAAGAAACAAAAGAGTGAATGTTCCTCTGGACTAAAAAAAAGGATAGGATAAAGTAGAAATAGCAGCCGGTGCACGATAGGCTCCGGTATGAAGTTGGTTTAGGATATATTAAGGTGTCACTCCAATACTCTTGGACGTGAGATATTAATAGTTAAAATAAAAAAAAGTATAGTTTATTTTGAGGCAAGATAATTGGTGACACCATCTATTCTCTATTTCCGATTAGGGTTTAATGTTTGTTTCTTCGGACCTCGCCCAACATTATCTTTTGTGCATCGTCGTTCGTCGTTGTGGTCACCAAAGATAATAAAAATTAAAATGAAACAACTTTTTTGGCTATTTTTATGATTTTTTTCTATTTTAATGTCCGAATGCATATTCTCTATCAAAGTTCACGTGCAAATCACCATCATCTTTTTGTATATATAAAAATGATATGATCTGATTCTTTTGTTTTTGACAACGATAAGCTATGCGTGTTTTGGTAACTGGAGCCTCCGGCCTACTTGGTCGTGCAGTTTACAAAACCTTCTTAGAGGATAAAAATGATGGTTTTGTACTATTCCACGCGACTTTATTTGTTTACATTAATCGATATCAACATTAACATTGTTGATGATACAGTGATAGGATTAGCAAAAACACGAGCTAAAGGAGATTTAAAACAGGTTTCTATTATTTTTCATGTATCAAGTAAAAGAATATTCTTTATAATGATGAAATTTCTGATTGATCCGTAATATTTTAATAATAAAAGCTTGATTTAACTGATACGGAAGCCGCAGAGACATTCATTAGCGAAATAATACCCAATGGTAATACATAGCTGAACTTCATAATATATATATATATATATATATAAATCCTATTAATTGATTTTTTTTTGCAAATCCTAGTGATTGTTTATTGTGCGGCTGAACGTCGACCAGATTTCGCCGAGAAAGATCGAGATGGTACTTTACGTGTATGTCCTGATTATTTATATGCTATTAGTATATATGATTTTTTAGATAAAGAAATAATCATTGATGTATATGTACTTTTATATTTATTATAGATTAATGTAGAAATACCCGCGCGACTGGCTACCATCGCTGCTAAATCCAATTCTTTTTTTATTTACCTGTCCACCGATTATGTATTTGACGGGAAAAATCCGCCTTATAGTGTTGATGCTGCGCCGAATCCTTTGAATTTCTATGGTCCGTCTTATTTTTACTTTCATGAATCACTGCACATTTGGAGTTTCTCTCTAACTTATGATTTCCTCTTTTTAATTGGACTGCATTATATAAAAGGTGAAACTAAATATAAAGGAGAAGTTGCGGTGTTGAATGCGAATCCTAATGCAGCGGTTTTGCGAGTCCCTATCTTGTACGATGTTTAGAAATTCTTGTTGGTGATATGTAGTTTACTAAACTGAATTGCTATTATTCTGTAAACGTAGATACGGTGACACTGAATACTCTGGCGAATCAGCCATTGATGGTTTAATGGATGTTGTCAAGGTAAAAAACATACTTCGAATTAATAATCATCAATATCGAGATAAAATTAATACTTTGTTGTCAGATAGAATAATCAAAAGACTGCTGAAATGGATCATTATGCGCGTCGATATCCCACAAATGGTAAAAAATTTATTCTCACCACAAATGCTGTTGTTGATGATCTGTATTTTATACTGATTTTCCGCATATATTAAAAAAGTGGGAGATGTAGCAAGAGTGATTAGAGATTTGGCTAGTAAGTAATGCAGTATATATTTCGGGTTGATTTGAATTCTCCACTTAGTCGATCTTGAAAAATTTATTTAGAAAAACAAGTAGAAGAAGATATTCCAATAAAAGGAATCTTCCATTTTAGCGCCCAAGAATTATACACAAAATACCAAATGTGTGGTAAGGATTTCGAAAAAACTATTTTTTCTATTCATATCATTAATTATTCAAAATTGAAAAAAAAGCAATGTTTTTTTCCGCGTAGTTGTATTTGCTGAAATTTTGCACGTTCCGATTGATCATCTTATTGTGAAGGACAAAGAACCTGAATCTGCTGCAAGTGAGTTATAGGACTTACCTGACTTTCTATCTCAAATATATTAATAATGTTCTCGCTTCAATATTATTTTAGCCAAACGACCATATGATTCTCATCTCTTGAACGATCGATTGAACGAATTAGGAATTGACACTAGTCATGTGAATTTTAAGAGTTGGTGGACGCGTAAATTAATACGTAGAAAATAATTATTTAACAAGATTGCAATTGACAGCTTTTACCATGTATTTTTATTTAATATCTCGAAATTCCGCTTCAGGAATCGAAGAAGTAGGTGGAGAGGAGGTGGTGGCAGATGATGATATAGGAATCAACAATTGTCTTCCAATTGTTGGCAAATAAACTGTAAGCTCTTGTAACGAAAGATTATTATGATTTCCATCTGTCAAAGATCCCGTAGCTCGAACAATCACTTCCTCGCCGGTAGGTGTCATACCACTGAATTCGATTTGCACCTTATTCTCTTGATATCCCCCTTGAAATGAATCAAATGTCGAGACACCGACCTTTGAAATTGAATATGGTTTCGAGAACTGCACGTCTTCGGGTGATAAACTATCAAGATCCCGGTTTAAAACCTCACGATACTGGTTATTCTGTAAGAGTTGTGTAATTGCTGATTCATATAATCGGTCAACGTACACGGAAGATGAAAATGGCATGAGCAAGGATTCGACGAGGTCGGTAAGTCCGCCGCCAAGACTACCTCTACCACCACCAATCATATCACTATCTCGTCTTCTTGGTGGTGGCCTATTTGAAAATAAATCACTTGAACTTTTTACGCGATGATCACTGCTTGCCACGCCTTGAATTCTCTTCAATTGATAATAATGATGTAATCCCGATTTTATAAGCCTGTAAACTCCATATGCGAGCGCGCCATTTAGCACAAACAAAAGTAAAGGTGGCAATAAGAGAAATGTTAATGTTGCACCACCGATAGCAAGTGCAGTACTTTTCCAGTCTTCTCCACGTAAACTTCTTCCCCGATGATTCTTGAGGTGTTGTTGTAGAGAGCGGAAATCTGAATAGTTTCTCACATTGGAAATTTGACAAGCTGAAACCGCACTAGAATGCGGTACTGACATAAATTTCCAGTTAAGAGTAATTGTTGAAAGTGAAGATCGAGCAGAAGAACCGAGGGTATCATTACATGGCCTTTTAATGGTATAAGGACGAGTATACCCTCGAGAGAAAAAGAATTTCGTTACATTTAGGCTCGAGATACTCGGAGCATATATTCTAGTTGTAATTGTTTTAAGGGTTTTCTGTAGTAACATTTGTTCTGGTAATAATAGGATTCGCCTTGCGAATTTTGAACTTAATCAAATTTTGTGGGAAATTTATTTACATTTACATATAAAAGTTCTTTGGATTGTCAAAATTATTAAACTCTCCGCTCTTACTATTATAAATATCACGTATTTGTGATGAAAATAATTTTATTATAAGAGTTTAAGTGAAAAATGGTGAATATATAGACTAATCTGTCAACTAATTCAGAAAATAATAGTAATTGCAAAATTAAACAAACACGTTTTCTTTACGATTACTGTGATTACTGAAAATCACAAAGCACTTGATGAGTTGGTTCCGTCATAGTCACCCATGGAATTTTGTTAAGCAGTGGGTGAATTGACATTTGTCGAATTGTTATTATTGACATTAACATTAGAAGCGGAAAAATGTCGAAATCGAAATGATTCAGCAGATTGTCGAAACCAATTTGTGTTTTCTTGTCCCGCTATAACTGCCACGAAACGAAACATCATACCTTTCATCCAATCTTCCCATTCCGCTCCTCCATTTGTGTTTGATGATTTATTATTATTACTATTATTATGATTATTGGAATTTCTCGCCGTTGAGCCATTATTGTTGTTCATTTGCGGTACGAAACCATTTTTTGCGTTTCCAGAATTATTATTGTTGGTGGTAGCATTCCCATCCAAATTCGTCTGTTCAAAATATTTTTTCGCAAATTCCTCCCAATCTCCGCCCATCATTGATAATTTCTCCCGAACACCGTTCTTAACCTGAGACCAAACGCGCGACGCACGTACAATTCGCTTGGCATCATCGTAAAACGTGAGAACATACGACGCGCAAAATATGAAACATAGTGTCGTTATACAGAACGAGTATAGAATCACTAGCGAGATCACTTGTACCGTTGATGATGTGATCACTCGTCTTGGCAGATTTAATGGTTGAAGTAGTAGCGCTGTTAATAAGGCTGTGGAGTAATGATGGTTATTGGTGGTGGAAGTTGGATTGATACTGGGATTGCTGTTGTTTCGTCGAGAATCAGAATTACGTCGTGATGGTAGTGGAGGCGATGATGGACGATGATGATGATTGTTATTATTATTATTAGTATTGTTAGTAGTATTATTATTGTGAAAATTATTGAAATTGTTAAAATTATTGTGATTATTAGCAATATTCGTAGTATTATTGTGCATCATATTCGGTGTGGCATGGTGTCTAAGCGGCGGCGAAGGACGAGCAAAGGACGGGTCCAAGTCGTTAAAGTCGTCATATGGACCATATGAAGTTGGTGATGGTGAAGTTGTTCGGGGAGTCATTTTTTCTAAAATGCAGATAATTTTTTCCTTAATAAGTCTCTTTTTTCCTTTCTTTAAACCGAGGAAAAACTCGCTCAATAATTTTTATTATGTATTAAATGTGTATATAGATATATGTCTATACACATATGTCTATATATATGTGTATATAGATATATATAAAAATATGAATGAAAAGAAAAGATTGATCAATCTTAAATTAACCTTTTTATGAAAAAACAGATAATAGCAGAATTAAAATTTAAGCTCAACAAAAAATCTGATATTGGAAAAAAGATAATACGACATCGAATCAAGATTGTTTTTTAAGGGAGTGACAAGATCATGTCGCCCTGCTTTTATAATGTCAAAATACCGTGTAAAAAATTAAGTTTTTTGGGGTAACAAACATCTAGGAAGCATATTCTTCTCAGTAAGAGTCCGCCTCGCCAACTAAAGCGTCGAGCAAAGGCTGGTTGGTTTCAATTAGCTATATATATATATTGCACACTTCAAACGCCCATGTGCCCTATTTAGAAATAGCATATTTTTTTATACAGTCTATTTTTATTATATATTTATTATTTTATGTGATACGTCATAATTTGTGCAATAACAATTGGGAACCCTTAAAATTACTTATCCAAATTCACATGAAAAAATTTAAGAGACAACGTTTAATGAAAAAAAAATCGCAAAACAAACAGATTCACATTCATACGCGTGAATCTTCCATTTTCGTTTGCATCAAGTCTATCATATTATATCTGATAGACAGACGATCGACTAAAATAACATTATATTCGACATGTCCTATCGATAATGTTTTGATAACAAATTCTTTGTCTCCTATATTATATTTATTTGCACCTGCGTATCTCATTCCAGTCTATTTCTCTTGGTTGTTCTGATATCATCTTTTTTGTTGTTAGCATTCGAGTGTGCATGTTTTAGTGCAGCGGTGACTCCTTGCGATGTGCTGGCTGATACGGATACCATCGGAGCTTTCATATCGTTGTCTTCGTGTTTCACAGACCTGAGTGGATATTCGAATGGTTGTCCCTCAAAAGAACTATTCACAAATGATTGATAATTTAATTAATCGGTCAATTATTCAATAAAAAAATTTATCAATCATTCAATAATAACTTTTTTCCGAATATTTTTTAAGAAATTTTGTTCCTTACTTCATCGATGGCTGCGGTTCTTCTTCGAAATACGGATGCGACAGTGCATTTTCGGCAGTAATACGTTTCAAAGGATCGTACTCGAGCATCTCTGTTAACAAGTCGAATGAAGCGTCCGATTTCGCGGAACATAGTTTCTGATGGTAGTCACGAAGATTGTTTGGGTATCTTTTGATTATTTTATCAAACAGATATAATTAGAATTTGAATTTGGCATTTAAACTTCAAGTATTCCAATTACACAGTAAAGTCCGCTTTAACGAAAGACCAGTTGAGCGAAGATTGCATAAATTAAAGTTTTTCTGAAACTGGTGCATTATAAAAATGCCCAATTTAACGAAGTGCTATAAGTAATTTTCTGTATAACGGATAACGAGGTTTATTCTCCGGAACGGTGCACTTCGTTGAACCAGACTTTACGTTATTAATAATTTAATTATTCTGAAAAAATAAAAAGATAAACGGATAGGGAGAATGAGCTTTATAGCTATTTGATATGTCACTTACGATCGAAAACCAGTCAAATGTTGATATTCGGGTTGTTGATCAATAGTTGGCCACCTTTCTTCTATTTTTAGAATCAACATCTTAGATTCATAATAATAATAATCATCATAATCATCGTGGTGATGAACAATAATATAGAAATATGTATACTTGTTGGTGTTCCCAAAACTTCAAATATTCGGGTCAATTGGTTCTTTTGAAACGGAACATTCTTTTTACTGTCCATTTTTGCCTCTTCACCCTTAAATATTGGTTTTAAGGTTAACAGTTCCGCGAATATACATCCAACAGCCCAAATATCTAATAGAATGGTATTATCAAAATAGTATTTTTATGTGATCATTCATAGAAAGAATAAAATGAATTCGTTACCTATAGCATTGGTATAATGTCTTGATCCTAATAAGAGTTCCGGAGATCGATACCAAATAGTGACAACCACTTTATCACCATTAAATAACGGTTGCAGAGGACGATGGTATAATCTCGCTAAACCCAAATCCCCTAATTAGAAACAAGCGAAATTAGAAACACATCATGTAAAAACAGGCGACAAAAAAAGGAAATATGATTAAGCTACTGACCAATTTTCACAACACCATCGGCAGTAACCAAAATATTCGCCGGTTTCAAATCTCTATGTAACACCCAATTAGCATGCAAATATGCGACCCCGTTCAGTAATTGCCATAGAAACGATTTAATGGTAAATTCTGGTATTGGTTTTCTTTCATGTTGACTATGGTGATGAATTATTTGCTGTGTTATGTAAAAATAAATGAACACATATTCCATGAAGTCATTCAATTAATCAAATGAATCATCTTATAAAAAGGAATAATAGTCTTACAAGAAAATCGTGTTCAGCGTAATCAAACACCATATGTATTGATTTATCTTCGAGCAATACTTCAATTAATCCGATAATATTCTCATGACTTAGTTCTCGACATAACTAATCATTATTATAATACGATAGTAAATATAATAAGGATAAGGATTAAAAGTGTAAATAGTGGCTGAATACAAATGATGATAATAATAATAATAGTAATGATAATTGTGCGATGATTACCTACAGATATTTCACGACACGCCGACTGGGAAATGCCCGTATAAGAATGCGGTTCACCCTCTTTATCAGGCTTGAATTTTTTGATAGCATACAATCGCTCCTTTTCGTCTTCGACACTAATATATAATGTAATTAATACATAATGAACTTTAATAAGCATTCAAGAGAATATGTAGACAGATAAAGCAATACTAACGACATTTTTGCCTTTGCCTTTGCCTTATATACACGACCATATGTTCCTGAGCTGATGAATCCCAAGACTTCGTATTTTTCCGTTACGCGTATCCGTTGTACTTCTCTTCTCAGTTTGAAGTCTTGAAGCATCCCGGTTGCTTGTTGTGCTGGTTTTTTAGTGCCGCGTTTCATTTTACGTTCACTTTCTTTGATTTCGATTTTGATTTCGATTTCGATTTTTTGATTTTATAGGCCATCAACTGCTGCGCCACGCAGATTATAAATCTTATAAAGTGAGATGTTTTCCAACGATTATCAATTATTCCTATGTGAAAATGACTACTGTATTTTTGAAACGTAATCCAGCGGTATGATTGAATTATTCAATTATTAACAAGAAAACCTTCATTTCAATACATATTTTTAAACATGGAAAAATTAATAGCTTATTCCCCTATTTGCTGCTTGTGGTGCGGGTGTTGGCGCGAGTGTTTTGTAAGCTATATTTACTTAGGTGTTTTTACACAATTACTGAATTCTGCAATCTTAAACATTGCGAAATGATTTTGTCCCTATTTTCTTGTATAAAGATACGCCTTTCACACACTTCGTACCAACCCGGACGTGATTGTAAATAAAGTAGGGAATCCTCAACCTTGGAACCGCGTTGCTCAACACGAAAACGTCAAGGCAATTACTCTATTTATGCTTTTGTTATTTTTGAATTTAGCACTTTCTTTGTTGCAACAATAATCAATTGTGGGATTTTTTACAGCTTATTACGATCAACAGAAAGTTTTTCGAGGATAGAAAAGGAATGGAGTCTCCTTCTTCGCGATATTAATTATCGAAGGTGGTCGAAGTCAAATTGGTTAAATTATTTTACAATTTTGGTGTAATGATTTAAAATTAAAAATAATTTTTTTTGAAAAAATCGCGTAAACCTCGCATGTGCATCATAATTGTATCTCAAGTGTATTTAATTAAGTGGTAAATATCTAACTTACGTTTGAATCAATTAATTGAATTTTATCGCCGACATTTATTTTCGCCCCTAAGAATTTCAAAAATTAATATTTCAACAAAAAATTAAAAAATGAACGAGCTAATTACCAATTTTCTTGTGAACAACATGCATTCCTTGAATGAATTAGAATTATATATAATCAATATGATAATTTCAATAATTTGATAAAATTCATAATGGATCGAGTCACTCACCAATACAAGCCCTGGATTTTGATTCGTTATCTACTCTACGATATGATTGTAGAACTTTGAATGGTTCGTCGCTCTTTATCTCGCCAGTCTCTGGATTTATGGTCGTCACTGTAAACAGCATTACCAACATTTGAGATATAACTGATTTCTCAAACAAACAAGGACAATAATACTCACCAGTACATCGAGTACAATGACATGCGACGTAAAACAAATTTTCGCCATCCTCGCCGATAACAAACTGCTTCCAAGTATCCTCCTCAAAAGGAAAACGACATCCTTTGACCACAATATTGGGTCGAAAATTCCGCATGGTAACAGGCGACGACAATTTACTGTTCACGTCACCCAGCGATTCTTCACTTATCAATAAGAAAGGAAATCTGTCGGAAAATGCTGTCTGCGGTTTATGCCCGAGAACTTGTTCGGTTGGCGCGTATTTCTCGAGGGTCCTTGTTTCTTGGGTGGATTTGTATACGATCCGTGACGATACTCCTAGGTATTCGGTGATCCAGGTTGCTGCTTCGTCACCACAATCGTATGCGTCGAGATTGTATGACCATATTACGGCTTTCTGTAGGACATGAGAAGACTCTCTGTGCACATATCGATATGATAATATCAATAAATGTGATGTCGTATTTTTAGCTAAACACGAAAAATTTACTTTGGATTAAGCGGAAGTGATAACTCTCTATCGATTCCTGGAGCTGTCAACACAAGAGATCCTCCATACTCATCTTCTGGATTTTCGTTAATGGCTGGCACTATCATAGTCAGCTAGAGCATAAATCATATTTCAGTCTTTATTTTAAATGACAATTTTTTTTAATCAATTACCTTTGGAAATTCGCGTTGTGTTCGAAACTTGTAATTCTCATCAACAATCATCCAAAATCTATCATATATAAAACCAAATTTATTGGTTTTCCATGAATCCACCTGAATGCCCCGACAAGATTTCACCGGATAAATGTATAGAGTTGTAATCTCCAGTTCTTGCGAAGTCATTTTTTGTTGGAAATCATTGAGATTCCTTCGTCAATCATATCAATATTTATCATAATGTCGGTTGCACAAGTCAATAATGTCCTTTTCTTTATATAGAAAATGATTTGATTATCGATTTGATGATGTGTTCATTTTCTAAATCGAATCTTGAATGATCTACTGTACAAAGTGCCTTCACTGTGAGATTTTCAGTACTTGTTGAGTTACTATGTAACTGAAGTTACGCTGCAACTAGGAAGAATTGAAAGCACATCGTGGCCATATGAACGTTCTTATTTTATCGTTTAGATTAGCCGATGGAGTAGATATTGAAGGAAGTTTCACAAGAATTCCAATTGTGGCCCAATGTAAGAATTATTCATATAGAAAAATCGGACCAAATTTTGACCGCGAATTAGAAGACTCGATTTGTGATTCCATATAAAAATAATTTTACTGAATGAGTGTGGCGTAGAGCGATAACATCAAAATATAAACCGACAAAGAAAATATATTAGATTTTATAGATTAAAAGAATATTTTGTATTTTTGTATATTTTATTTAGAATTAAATCAACATACAGTGGCTAACATAATTATGGAATCACGCATGCGATTTTATTAATAAAACAGTGAAAATTGAAATTTTTGTCATAAAATTTTTAATTTTTTTAACATATATTTTTTCTGGATTTTTTAGATTTAATCTGACAAAATTGTTCCAATTGCAAAGTTATTTTATAATTAATTTTACATTTTAATTATAAAAAATTTTTGTAATAATTTTGCAATTAGAACAATTTTGTTAAATTAAATCTAAAAAATATTTGTTAAAATATAAATTGTGATCTTTATTTTGATATACAAATAAAAAATATTTATTTATAAAATTAAAAACTTTTATAACAAAAATTTCAATTTTCACTATGTTTTATTAATAAAATTACATATATAATTCCATAATTTTTGTTTGTTATTATATTTTATATTGTTACCATTTTTATATGGATAGGCAAAATATTAATTAATTATAGTAATTAATTAAAATTATATAAAAATGATAATAGTAACTGTATATACTTGAGAGAGTTAAATACTAGATAATTGAGAGAGAGTATGCAAGTATTTTATAATTCAAAAATACAAATGATTTATTAAATTACAAAATATGACTTCACTAGTTGGATAAGTCAAAGTTAAGTAAATAATAAACCAAAAATAACAATAAGTAAAAGATTATTTAAAAGTATCAGTTAACTTTTATATTTTTATTACTTTCAAAATTATTATTAAATTACTTGTAAATTACTTTACAATTACTTCTTAATTACTTTTTTATTATTTTATTCTATATTTATTTAAATACATGTAAATGTAATATAGTATTACAGCCCAGAATTATTTCTAATTCCTTAATTTTTAATTTTGATCATGTAATTAAATATAAATTGTAAAGATAGCAGAGATAGTAGAGTTTTCAGATATGTTAATATTATCTATTATAACATAATTATCCAATATGTATAATATATCTTATATTATAATATTTTTATTATGAAATATTTTATATAAATAAAGAATTTTTTGAATAAATCAAAAAATATTAATTGATCAATACAAAATCTAACTAGTCAATAAATTGTTTTTTGTTTATTGTTTAATAAAATTATACATTAATTAATTTTATATAGTCAAATCCCTTTATAGTCACACTAATTTATAGTCACACCTCTCTATAGTCATCCTATTTTGCTTTTTTATTTACATACTGTCACTATTATGACATATTATATATTATTTAGCTATTTGTTAACACGTTGTCATGATCAGGCTCCTGGTAGATATAATCATGACGTAGGTGTTGTCATGATCAGGCTCCTGGTAAGTATAATTGTGATGTGGATGTTTAATCAACGTCTGTTGACAGTATTTTTATAGTTATTCGATCTCGTTGTAAATAGTATACTTCAGGATCGCCACACAATGCGTTTTCTTCTATCTTATAAATAGACTTTCACTATTACTAATAGATGTTATGTCTACTTAGTGTGGGACAATCCTATAGCAATATAGTACTGATATTTTATAGTAACTTTGACGGTTGTCCAATAGTGCGCAATAAATGCAAGTATTTTAATAAGTTATTATTTTTAATCAATTAAGTGTACAAATTTC